TAACTAGTCCCAAATAATGGTTAATACCTTAGAAAGTCCCAAAGTCCCAAACTAGTTAAGTTTGGACGGCAACTATACTCATGATATATCCAACAGATTTTGATGATTTTACTACCATTAGAATCAGAAATTATAAGCTAAAAGAAGAGTTAATAAAAAAAAATACTTTTATATATAAGCAAGTCTCACTCCTATACTATAGAAAAAATATATTATATATAATTTGGATTTTTTATTGGCAAAATTTATCGTCGATTATCGCGTGGTTTGTAAAACTCATGCTTGTATTAATAAATTAATATTCTTATGTAAAACTATAATTAATCCAAAATTTTATTATAATAAACTATCTTTGATCTTTAAGTAAATATATTAATAAAAACTTTAAAATATATATAGTATATTATTCTTTATATTATAAGCAAATTAATTAAAGATTTAGATTTGTAAATATAAAAATGTTTTAATTTATTTATAACTGCAGTGATAAACTCTAAATCAAAACATCGAATCGGCAAAATATTCGGTCGGTCAATTTTTGCCAGATTTTTCAGAATTTATGAAAACAGCTGTAATTTACTGGTAGCACCATAGGAAGACTTTTGTATGATTGGCTGTTTAAATCAATTTATACGAAAGTCTTTCTATGGCCGATAGCACTACTATCGGTAGTATAGCAGGTTTTCACTCTGATTGGCTAATTCTTCTATCTATTTTTCTTTAAAGTCATATGATATATATAGTGCAAGCCATAATCAACCAATCAGACTTAATAAACTGCCATATCATCAACCTACCATCTACCATTATATATCATTAACCCCACGGTAGCTACCAACTCGCATCACTATATTAAATACACTATATAGTGGTATTTATACCACGTATATTTTTACCAGTTTTACAAGTTAGGATTAGTTTTAAGTTATAGGCCCAAATTTTAGATAAGGTGAGGTGCGAAACATTTTACTTAATATCCGGCATAGCTAGTTTTTGATATAGCAACTATGGTGTTAACACTATTGAAACTGTTGAAACTCTTGATAAATTGTGGTGAAATTGGTGAAATTTAATATAACAGCCAATCAGATTTTAGATAGTCACCAGGCATTATTTAGTTTCACCAGCATCTATCGGTTGTAAAACCTTTTTGTTACAGGTTTTGAGCATTTTGATGAAAATAACAAAGAAATGAGTTCGCATAAAATATCGTATAATTTATTATGTAAAAATATCAGTATATTTTTTTAAAAAAATTTGTATATATACAAATACAAATTTAAGTGATAATCTATACAAGTTTTCAAATCTAATTACATAATTGAATTGACAAATATTAAATTCAATTTATATAGGTGCAAATTAAAAAATTCAATGAGTAAAAACAAGCACAATATATTATAAAATTTTTTATAAAAAAAAAATTGAATAAATCATTCTTAATAAATTTAAATGCTAACGTTTTTTTTACTTCGAAACGTTATACAACGATAAAATAAAATAAAATAAAATACGTGCATGGACAGCGGAAGTTTATCGCTCAAATTTGAAATATTGACAGATTTAATTTTTGAGACCATAGCCAACTAAGCCAGCTTGGACGTATCAAAATTATCGTCTCGGCTAGGCTTATAAATTTTAATCGGCTATAATTACTACCTTCTTCGAGTGTCTCGTTTATCATTTCGCTTTCCACCAATTGATTTGCCTGGCATTGGAGCAATAAAGTCGTTATGTTCCATAGCACGATTAAGTTTAACGGGTGGACGAAGAACTGGAGAGATACCTTCGATGCTCCTCCTCTTGTTTGAAGGAATTTGTTCAAGTTCGCCGTCGCGATCTCTTTCAGTTCGTTCTCTTTTCTTACTTACGAATCTCTGGGCCATCATATTGTCACGTGAACGCCTGATTGTAGGCTCTTCTGCGTGTTTTCTTTTGCCACGATCACTTTCACGCCTATCCCTATCTTCATCCAGCCGTTCACGTTCCCTGGATTTGTCTCGCTCTTTTTCTTTCGCTTTATCACGACGTTCTTCTCGTCTGTCATCACGCTTGTCACGATCTTTTTCCTTAATTTTATCGTCACGATCACGAAGACGATGATCGGTTCTTTTATTTGGGTCATCATTCATTAATCTTTCTTTATTGCGGATCAATGGATCTTTTTTATCATCACCACTACGTGAAATTTCTTGTTTGCGATCCCTTTCTTCTCGCTCTTTATCACGATCATAATGATCCAATTTTTTGGAAATCTCCTTGTCTCTATCATGATGATCACCTTTCTTGATCTCTTTATCACGCTCAATCTGCATATCTTTTCTATCTTTGACACGATCTCTCTCATGTTCCTTCTCTCTCTCATGCTCTTTATCACGAATTTGTCCACGTTCCTGTTTAATAGGTTTATCGGGCAATGGATGTATTTGCATCCGTGGACTGGCTCGAGTAGTTAAATACGAAGGGGAGGATGGATGTGCACCTCGTACGTTTGATAAAGGACCCGAACGTGCAACTACTGGAGATTGAGTAGCCCTTTGTGCAGGAGAAGCAGACCCTTTATCTGACCTTTCATCGCGCTTTTGTGGCCCTTTTTCAAGGTTTTCATCATGCTTTGATCCTTTTTCTGACCTTTCGTCATGTTGCGCTGAGTCCATGGCAGGGGAATTCTTTGCTTTCTGGAAAGATCGGACAGAAACCCAAGATTGTTGTTTCCCTTTTAATATCGCTGAGTAGCTTAGGGCCAAAGTTCGAATGTCGCTCCGGTCTCCGTTCTTTACAATTTTATCAATATCTTCCTGAAGTTTCTTACCAAATGTATCGATAGCTGGGAAATACAATATTACTGTATTAAGAGCTATAATCGAATTACGTACTGAAAAATATTCCATAGATTGAAGGTTTTGCTCAAAAGCCCTAAGAAGCCTTGAATGCCATTTATAATATACAAGCCTAAACTCTTCATATCGTAGTAAATCATTTTCGGAAATACTGGCTGGTTGGCGATTATGTGCAGACCATTTCATTTGAAATCCAGGAATTCCAGAACCTTTACCTCGATTTTCATATTCCTGTGGGTTTTTATGTAGTTTACTAAGAGACGCTAAAATAGTTTGAAGAAAAGTGCCATAGTTTCGAGCCTCAGATTCAGAACATGTAAATATCAAAGGTTGTACTTGGTCCGCAAAAATCCGATCATATAGTGTAAGCGTTGAAAAATTAACAGTGCCTATTTCATGCATTGTTTCAATAAATTTTGCACAAAATACAGCATTATCAGCGCTAGTGATTAACCGTGGAAAAAGGCAATATTGCCAAAATTGCGTAATAATGTCTTGACGATTAGTAAATTGTCCGGAGAACCAATGGTCTTTCTCGATTCTTAATCGGGTTTTAACATTTTTAATGTGTTGTTCATGCTTCCGCATGTCTTTGTCTATTTGTCTGGCTGCATCGAAAATCTTGGATTTATCTCGAACTTTGTCACCATTAGCAGAGTCTAATAATTCATTTTTAGCCTTTCGATATTCTTCTTGCGGAAACTCTAAATCGTACAAAGACATTTGCCAGAAAGTAATAAAGAATTGTGGACTAATTCCGTTCCATACATATGAAGGTAGAGTGGTTTTAACTTGTTCAATTATATTGGATAACGGAGGTTGCCATATTACTTTTTCATTATCAACATCCATTGATGATGATTCGTCAGTATATTGTTTCAGCTTATAATTCAATACTGGCCGTAACAACATAAACGCATATTCCATTTGTAAATGATACGTTTTAACCAAATTTTCAATATCTGGTATAATTTTAGTATATTCATCCATGCCAATAGTTATTGCCAAAAAATCAACATATTGGATGTAAGTGTTACAGCAAAGATCCATACGATGGACAACAGATTTAAGATGTTTAGAACTTTCACCAAGTGCCTCATATGGAATGCTTTGCGCCAACTGAGCAATTAAAACAGCAATCTTTACAGCAAATCCCTCTTCAACGAGCGTTTGACTCAGCCTTGAAGAATTACGACGAACATTCTTCTGGTTTCGATTAAACAATTTGATGTTTCGCAAATGCTCGCCAGTACCCATGAGAGCCACGTCATATTTTGAAGGGACGATTTCATATTTAATTCCTGACATTGCAGTAATAAGTTGAGAAAGAACGCATAAATCTACAGAATTGCGGTCTTTAAGTCTACAAATGATGAACAAAAGAATGCTTGAAAGGTTCATTTTTTCATATTTTCTGCACATATTTCCACAAAATTCAGATAAATGTTTAAGCCAATCACTGATATTAATACCATCATCTTTGAGTCTTTCTCTGTCACTAGAAAAGACTTCCAGCATCTGATACGTCAAGATATCATATTCGAATGCGGTAAAATATTTACAGGCTTCAACAAGAGAATTAATCATATTACCGTACGCTTGAATTTGTTTCAGAATAATTTCAAATACAATTGTCGGATTTGCATGAGAAATTTTTGCAAGCTCACGACCTTTTTCACGGCAATTTTCTTCAGTAATTCTTTTTAAAATTTTTTTTGTCTCATGGCTAACCTTCTTATGTTGATCTTTTAATGGCTTGTGGACGTCATAAGCCAATTTCCATTCAGCATAAATATTAAATCTTAATTTATATGGGAACAATTTAAGAATGTTCCATAACTCATCTATAACACCACAAGTAGTATCCGGCATGGCTATGCTAGGCATAATTGTTGATCGAACAATATCTAGCCATTTATTTTTGACTGTTTCAAAATCCGAAGAATTTCTCGATTCCTCTAGATGGTGATATGCGATACGCATAATTTTTGTAAATAATATAAGGTCTCTAGCAAGCCATGGTCCAATAAAAAGTAACAATAATCGTCCTTGTCCCTCAATTAAATCTGAGAAAGAATGAATGATAGGTATTCCTTCTCGCCAACGTTTGTACCAAGAACCGAAAAAGGACGGAGATTGGAGACGTTTTACTAAACGAGGAGCGATTGGTGCGTAAATATCATAAATTGCTACATTGATCATCTGACGTAAGCAACTGGCTATGGATTCTTCGATCTCGGGGAGATGATATAATACATAACGTACATGGTAAAAATCGCCTATTTCAATAAGAGCACACGCAAGGCCAATCTCATGCTGATGAGGGTTATCTTCAGAATCCCTCAGGATATATGGGTATAAATCAGCAATTTTCACAACTTGATTATGTATCAATATAGCGGAAGCGATGTACAAATATGAAAAAGCGTTTGGAAACATATCGGAGCCCTCATAACGGGTGTACTTTATGCCAAGCAATTGAGCACATATTGGATTTCCTTTATCATTCGACCATTCATCATGGTTCTCAATTATATCCATAGGATCAGGCAACCATGGTGAATTCTTCAAAAGTTGTATGAAAAATTCGTAATGAACCTTTACATTTATAATAAATATATCAAGAATTAAGTCCAAGACACGATTTGGATCCAGATTGAAGAATCCTATTAATACATATTATTTACGTTAGAGAATATCAATCGAATATTAAGTATAGGAAAGAAAAGGTAAAAATATGATGAATTACCTATTAGTGTTTGAATAGCCTCCAGAATGCTTTGTGTACGTACATTTAGAGACACATCATCTTCCTTATATATGGATTCACAGCACATAGTTAATTCACATATTAATTTTGCGTATCCTTCGGATTCTTCACGGGCGAGATTATACTTTTGCTGTTTATACAACATTGCCGTGTTAATTCTCACGCAGCGTCGGCCAAAAGTTTTCTCTTCTACTACACCGGCACTTTCTAAGAGGGAAATATCTAATTTCGTCTTCATGCTTTTGGTGTCGACGATATTATTTGCCTTTGAAAATCAAAGAAAGTTATTGGTATAAACTACCAAAAATCGTAAAGATAATATATAAATGTAATGTTTGTCGAGACGTTACATGACAAAACGTATTTCAAGTTTATGATGTCTTGTAATTGAAACACCCAAATCGCTATATATAGTTCTCATTATAAGCTTGTATCTTTGTACAAAATTACAAAAAAACTAAATTATAAAATTGATTTTCCTTCAAAAATCAACAATCTGTGAATGCTTACGTGAAGATATTTGACAATGTTAATAAGATTTCGACGACAATCGTTTTCAGTCGCTTTGTCGCTTGCACCGTCAATAATGGTACTGTCAATGTACCATATAACATCAAGAACGCACTGAGCAAGAGCCTCGGGTTCCTGCTCGCCATTTTGAAGCTTTTCGAAGACGGGACCGAGTAAAGAGGTAGATTTGTTGCCTATTACAATCTCTGTAAAGGCTTCTAGAAGGTCGTCTTCCATTCTTAAATTTGGGAAGTAAAATAGTGCTTAACGTTTAAAATTTTGTACTTACGTACGTACGTACGTATGTACGTTCAGTCATCAGCAAAAGTAGCCCCGATTTGATTGTGTAACAATACGAATATATACCCCATTCCGGGCAAAAAAAAATTTTTTTTTTGATTTCTCTAGAATATTTTGAAAAATCAAAGGCGTATAATAATATAAGCATATGGCCATGAACAAATACAAACCATTTCTTTATCAATATGCAGTGTGGGCAGTTTTTGGATCCGCAGCTATACATTTGCTCTGGACAAAAAATGAGTATCGAGAATACAAGGAAAGAATGGATTTTAAAATTTCGAAACTTGAGGATTTGATTGAAAGACTGAAACGCGATGCAGGTGGTAGATTTGTCAATGATACAGTGCTAGCCAAAAGTATTCCTCCTGTAACTTGCTTACCATTAAGCTCTGCTTTGAAAATTTAATATAATATAGGTTTCTCTTAATTAATTGTATTAAAATTTAAAAAATTATTGAAATTTTATTTATAATAGTGATAAAAAATTTGACTTAATTTAATAAATAGTTAATAAATTAAAATTTGAAGTTTAACTTTTAAAATTTTAGCAACCTAAACATTTTAAATATTATACTTTAAAACTTAATTTCTCAATATTAAGTCAAATTTTTTTTGTCACCATTATAATATATAGTTATTGAATGCGAAGCAGCCAATAACAGGAGTTATTGAAAAATACTCCATTATCTAGTTTTAAATTTAATGTGCTGGTTTCTGGGCCCCGCAGGTAGTGTTACAAATTGAAAGTTGAAAAAATCGATTAGTTGGTTAGTTTACAACTAATCGATTGATCAATTAATCGACTAATCGATTAGTTGCAACTAATCGACTAAAGAATTAATTGCAACTCGTCAGATTAATCGATTAGCTGCACCAATTGAAAAAACAATTAACCAACTAATCGATTGAAAAAAATGTTGCTGATTTGTAACATTACCCGCAAGGGCTCAGAAGTGGTACGTTAATTTAAGCCAGATAAGTAAATTATTGGTTGCGTAGCATACGGTGTTATCCGGTGGATTATGACGATTATACTTGCTAAATGTCTCGAGTTTTTATAACGAAGCTATTTGGCAGATGACGTAATAACTGCCACAATAACTCGAGTGCAGTAAAACGGATAATAGATTTATTATGATAAAAGTTACAGGGAATACTTTTGTTCTGCGCTGTAAGTACGGTATATTAATCAAAGTATTTCTGAATTTATTTTAAATCATTTGCTAGCGATAGAACAAAGCTCTAGTACAACACGACAAAGTATTACATCAACTCAGTCTCGCGTGACGTCTACGCATACCCAAAAGGAAGAAAAATCCAAAGCCGTTGTATGGCTATAATTAATAAATACATTTATAACTCATACGTTTCTTGTAAGAATGATAAAAAAACAGAATTTTCAAAGGAGGTTTTTCGCGAACATTTTTTTTTCAATAGTTCACGATCATGACGATTACATCTTGATATATTAAAATCAAAAACAATCATGATTTTTAAGATCGCGTTTTAAAACATTTGCCATCCCTAGTCTCCATTACTGCATTAGCACTACGTAGTAATCCAAAAACGTTAGTTGAAAAACTAACAATATAGTTGACAACCACAAGTGAATCCCGATATAAGAAAGATGGTCGGGTCCATAGTAAAAATTTTACAAAACTTTCTTATATCTAGAGGTTATTATAATTTTCTTATATCGAGTGTAGTTATTAGACTGATTTTGGCTTGATTTTCTTATACGTATCGAAAGTTTAATTAGTCTTCTTATATCGAGAGTTAACGTAATTATAAACTAGTATCCTGCACGTGTTTTGCTACGTGATAGATTAGGGTGTCCAGGAATTATGATGCGACATAATATCGATATGCGCATAATTCAACCCATGTCGCATAAAGCCGCCCGCATAATGTGTGAACCAGAGTTTTTTAGCCAATGAAATTGCTTATGTCAAATATAAGACTTAGCGACTAATCTACTTTTATACCTGAGTTCGAAATTGACATTATTTAGATTAATTTTAAGCAGCCTGAATTGTATATGTACACATATATACAAAATAACAATGTCATTGATTGTGAATACGTATGTTAATTATTTTAAATAGTGTAAAAAATTTTAGATTATAATACAGTACAGTCAGACCTCTCTAAATGCACGTCGTCGGGACCAGCTCTAGCACGTGCATTTAGAGAGGTGTTGCATTTAG